CCAGGCGAATGCCCTGCACACCAAGGCCAGGGCGGGGATTGAGGCAGCGCACCCCCAGATGGCAGCGGACCCATGGCCGCTGCACCTAGGGGACATCCTCCACACGCTGGAGGGTTAGAGGGGCACTAAGGGGGGGGGGGGGGGGAGGGTCAGAGGGATGGGTTGATGGGTCGGAAGGTATAAGGGAACCACGAGTCAAATTGCATGTCTGTACCCCCTGCTGAATTAATACAAAGGACCATTTGAGAGAGAGAGCGCCTAATGCCCTTGTGCTTGTGCTTTGAGACCGCAAGGCCAGCGCCTGCGAGAAATGATGAGAGTGAGTGACGACGCAAGCTCTAAGGCGGAAGGAGCCGCGGGTGCCCTATCGTCAGAATCAGAGCCAGCAGATTTGTGGCAGAAGACATAGACACGGCAAGAAATGACAACCCGTCACGCTGCCCCTGCACGGCAGGAGTGTTGAGATGAGACAGACACGTGGCGGGAGGCTATCTTCATGGGTTTAGTGCAGTGCAGTGCACTGCAGTGCAGCGCACTGCAGAGCAGTGCAGTGCAGTGCAGAGCAGTGCAGTGCAGTGCAGAGCAGTGCAGAGCAGGCAGGGAGGATGATGGTGGAAGGTAAAGGCTTGTGCTTGTCATTCTCCTTTGCTTCAAATACACCACCCTGCTCCCAGGTAATCGCACTCACTGCAGCTTCAGAACTTCCGCGGTTTCGCTCTCACTGCTCGCTCTCTACCAGCTGTTCTCCGCCCTCTGCACTCTGCCCTCTGCCTGCCCTCTGCCCCCTGCCCTGTGCCCTGTGCCCTGTGCCCTGTGCCCTGTGCCCTGTGCCCTGTGCCCTGTGCCCTGTGCCCTGTGCCCTGTGCCCTGTGCCCTGAATGTAGGGACATGTCCACGAATAATTTTAATGGGACCTTCCCCTCTTTCATCACACGCCTCTCTCAGCTCACTAAATTGTGAGCATACCCCTCCACCCCCCAGGATCCCTTCACATACATAGTTGTTTAAGGCTGGAAGACAAAACGTTCTAAGAGGAATCGTGGTAACGTTGCTGACATCGTTGCCCCGCTTTGTCTTGTCATGCGTCCTCCTGACGATCACAATCTTGTATGCCACACCACATGCCATATGCCACACACACACACAAACCACATGCCATATGTCACACACACACACACCACATGCCATATGTCACACACACACCACATACCATATGCCACACACACACACACCACATGCCATATGCCACACACACACACACACACCACATGCCATATGTCACACTCACACCACATACCATATGCCACACACACACACACCACATGCCATATGCCACACACACACACACCACATGCCATATGTCTCACACACACCACATGCCATATGTCACATCACATCTCACCCATGCCACATGGAACATGTCCCATGGCATGAGCTTTGATACAACCAAGATTTCCGGACCCATTCCCTCCACCATCACGGCTCTCAAGTACCTCAGAAATCTGTAACTGGGCATGGGTGCTGCTGTGCATGGGTGCTGCTGGGCATGGGTGCTGCTGTGCATGGGTGCTGCTGGGCATGGGTGCTGCTGTGCATGCGTGCTGCTGTGCATGAGTGCTGCTGTTCATGCGTGCTGCTGTGCATGAGTGCTGCTGTGCATGCGTGCTGCTGTGCGTGTATGTGGTCAACAACAGTACAAGTGTCAGCGATCTGCTCACCACCACTGCCTTACACATTCACTCCACCCCCGCCTCTCTCCACGCTCCACACCTGTCATGTCCCTTGGTCAGCTTGATGGCCCATTCCAGCATCTCAGGAACCATCCCATCCGACATCTCCGGCCTCTCCTCTTTACGCATTATGTCAGTCAGTGCCCTCCATCCCTCCCACCCATCCCTACCCAAGGCTGTTTCCTGTTTGTGCTTAGCCTTCCTTTGAATTCTGCTCCGCTCACACTTCTTACGGTCTGCTTAGAAAACATCAGGCTAGAGATGACGACGAGAGAGTAAAAACAACAAGGTTTGAAGCAGCAGTTTTAACAATGATTTCTCTCTGCATGCATCCTACTGTGCATCCACATGGCAACGCAATGCGCTGCATACCAGAGACTTCTCCGACACTCGCCTCAGCGAAACAGAAGCACTCCCATTTCCCTCTGCATACTACCCTGCCTACTACCCTGCATACTCCCCTGCATACTACCCTGCATACTCCCCTGCATACTACCCTGCATACTCCCCTGCATACTACCCTGCATACTCCCCTGCATACTACCCTACATACTCCCCTGCATACTACCCTGCATACTCCCCTGCATACTCCCCTGCATACCAGAGACTTCTCCGACACTCACCTCAGCGGCACAATCCCCGGCTCTATTGGTCAGCTCGCCAGTCTCGCGTACTTGTATGTGAGCGTGGGGGGGGGAGGGGGGTGGTTGTTGTGGGGCATGCAAGGGGTGTCACACTCACACACGCATGCATATGGCCTTTGAGTCACCTCACCCTCCTCTGCTCAAGCCCATCCGCTTACGTAGTTCTTTCTTTACTGTTTTTTGTAATGTATATATATATATACATATGTACATTAACAAGCGTAAGCTCATGATCACATTAGTGATCCGTACCATATCCTCAGTCCACGGCCCACCTACTCCTCCCATCTGTCTGTTTTGTTGCATCTGTCGCTCAACAATCAACCGCCCTGCCACAGGAACCTCGCCCACACCAACTTGTCTGGGTTGCTGCCAGCCACCCTTGGTGCTCTCTCCAAAGTCTCTCTATTGTTGGTCCCCTACACCTCACCTCACCTCACCTCACCTCACATCGCCCTGTTCTTCATCAATCCATCCATCCATCCATCCATCCATCCATCCATCCATCCATCCATCCATCCATCCATCCATCCATCCATCCATCCATCCATCCATCCATCCATCCATCCATCCATCCATCCATCCATCCATCCATCCATCCATCCATCCATCCATCCATCCATCCATCCATCCATCCATCCATCCATCCATCCATCCATCCATACATGCATGCATACATACATACATACATACATACATACATACATACATACATACATACATACATACATACATACATACATACATACATACATACATACATACATACATACATACATACATACATACATACATACATACATACATACATACATACATACATACATACATACATACATGTATGAACAGCGCGTACGAATGTTTGATCTTTGGATAGTTGCCGTTGGCTTCCTCCTTTGCCCCGCACTCCACACTCTTCTCGCTACTCTTCACGTTCCCCTGCCATCTCGTCCTCTTCAGAAACATGAATGCAGGGGGGACATGCGGCAGGGCTGGCAGCAGCTGTGAGATTCAGCAGAACGTCTCCTCCTTCTTCTGCCGGGCTCTCTGCATTGATTTCTGTGCCTCATGCACCCCGCTCAATGGTGAAAATCGATGGATTTTTTTTCATGTCTCTGCCTGTCTGCATGGCTCGCATTGCAATGGGATGGCATCTCGTCTGCCTTTGTGAATGTGGTAGTTGTGGCAATCGCAACGCCACTTGTTAATCTGTATGGCACTTGTTAATCTGCATGCCACTCGTTAGCCTTCAGCCAACATGCCATCTGCCAGTTTGTATAGGCATCACAGCTCCCAAGCATAACTTCTCTACCCCTCCACACCCCAATTCCCTCCCCTCCTCTGTTCCAACAGGCCAACGTCGCCACCCTCCTCCCCCTCCACCCCTCTCACCTCCTCTCCCTCCCAGCCTCGCTCTCATGACCCCCCCACCCCCTCCTCTGTCCTCTCTTCTTACCGTCTCCACTCTACTCGCCCCCCCTCCTGCTCCTCCACCCTCCACCGGTTTACCAACATCTGCAATCGTGGGGATATCCGTGGGAGCGCTGTGCCTGCTTGTGGCTGCTGCTGCTGTCGTGGCTGCTGTGTATGTGAAGCGGGGAGATCAGGATTCGAACCTACAGCCACTGCTAGCTGCCTCAGGTAAGAGCAAGAGCAGTACTTTTCTCAGTACAGTGCCACGAATCTAAGAGATATGTGTGTGGCATGGCTGGCTGGCAGTCACGACAGCCATGACCACCGTTTTCACTGTTGCCTGCCTCACCCACCTCTCTCCCACCTCTCACCCACCTCTCTCCCACCTCTCACCCACCTCTCTCCCACCTCTCTCCCACTTCTCACCCACCTCTCACCCACCTCTCTCCCACCTCTCTCCCACCTGGTTAGAGGGACCTGGTTAGTAACTAGTTTTAGCTTTCTCATTATGAGTGCCTCCTGGAGAACTAACATAAGCCAAGGCCGGGGGTGTGGTGTGAGAAGTAGCAACTAGCTGGTTTTTATTTAGCTGAGTACCGAACCGACCGACTACCTAGCGATTGATACTGGCTGGCTACCTAGGTATCCAGAGTTGATGGCTGGTTGCCCTAGAGCTGGCTACCTGCTGCTGTTCAGTAGTGGTACGGTAGTTTTCGGACGTTACGGTGGTTTGGAAACATTGCTAAGACCTCTCCATCTGCAAGGGAACCTGGCATGGTGGTTTGAGTCTAAGAACCTTACGTGGTGGTTTGCTAAGAACCTTCTTCCCGTGCGTTGTGACCTGTGCCTTCATTCATCCAAAGGCTTTAGATTGCCAGGCTGTGCAGGGCCAAGCAAGCAGCTACAGGTAGCTGGCAAAACATTGGCAGCCTTACACGCCATATACAGGCACACATTGTGGATTAAATAGGTACATTCAGAGTCGGTATTATTTTTGTGCATTGATTTCCAATATGTCACAGGCAAATATACCATAGCAACATCAGCAACAGGCGTGTCATGTCAAGCCTCCACCTGCCTGCTCCCCCTTGCCTTCACTCCACGACCTGCTGATAGTCACAGAACAAGACCAAGGATCTCCCTCCGTCCACTCCAAGGCATCATCAACCCTAATTTCACCGGCCTACGTCATCCCTAGCGCTACGTCCACCCCTTACTTCTTCTTGCCAGCGACCGTGACCTTCTTGCCGCGGCGTGTGCGGGCGTTGCACTTGGTGTGCTGGCCGCGGCAGGGCAGGTTGGCGATGTGCCTCCTGCCGCGGTAGCACATGATGTCCTTCAGCCGCTTCACCGCCATCAGATTGAACCGCCTCTGTGGGGAGGGGAGAACCATGGGACAAACAGATTCAGAGGAAGGGGGGCGGGGAGAGGGAGGTGGGAACCAGCATGAAAAAGGATGGGGAGAGATGATGGATGGATGGACGAATGAATCAGTTGGGTGAATGGGAATGGATGTGCGGAGTTGGGATGCGGAGGGCGAAGTCGAGAAACGAAGGTACGGAGGAGACCGAGTAACAGGGAGAGAGGGGAAAGGGGGGCAGGACAAGGGAGATGGAGGACTGAAGGAGAGAGGGAGTACGGGGGACAGGGAGAAAAGGCGCGCGGAATGAACGGAAGGTGCGGGAGTACGGGGGACAGGGAAAACATAGATAAAGGGTGTGGGGGAGAGAGACGGGAGGGAATGCGGGGAACAGAAGCAACGTGGGAGGAAATCCATTTTTCAGCCATGTAATCTCGGTGCACACTGCCACACAACCAGACGGGCTCGCAAGAGAACCCAATATAGAAACAAGATTAACCGCGTAGCGCGTGGTACTCGTCGCAAATCCAACGCGCTGCCGCATATGATGGCAAACCCTGAAAAGTGAATTCCATCTCTCCCCTCCTCCATCCCCCCCTCCCCACTCCCTTCCCCGTTCCCCCTTCTTCCCGTTCCTCCAGTCCCCCTCCCCCTCCCCTCTCTCCCACCCCTTTTCCCGCTTCCAACAAGCAACCTGATTCTTTGGAAAGTCAGATCAATAGACACCTGTAACAAGCGCGCTCACCAGGTCGCCCTCGGTCATGTACTTGGAGACTTCATCTCTGAGGCGCGTGAGCTCCTCCTCCGACAGGTCGCGAGTGAGCTTGTTCTCGAGGCCCACGTCCAGCAGCACCTGCCGCGCCGTCGTCTTGCCCACGCCGTGGATGTACGTCAGCGACGTCTCCACACGCTTCGAGTTCGGGATTTCCACTCCGGCCACACGAGCGCATCTCACGGCCAGGCGGGAGGGAGCAGCCACCGCTGGCGACGTCTGTTGAGGGCCGTGGGGACAGCATTGGGAGAGGAAGTGCGGTGGAGTGAGTGAAAGGAGAGGAGAGGGAGAGGGAGGGAGCGAGAGAGAGAGAGGGGGGTGGGGAGGTGAAAGAGAGGGTTACACATACAGGGGCCGGGGGGGGGGGGGACGACGGAATGGAATGTTCGGTGCTTCAGAGACCAGAACCGCAGCGAAAGGAAAAAAGCAACTAACTTCGTGGAAAACAACACGGAAGCCTGATAACGCCCTAAAAATAACGCCTTTTCGTAGTCGCAGGAATCGTTTAAGGTGTGGAGATACGGAGTAGCCGGACTAGCCAAGCGATAGGCTGCTCGAAACGAAATGAACGGCACGTAGGACGAAATCATATGCGACCCTTAATGCTTAACTAACCTTACATTCCGACGATCCGCAAGCTAAGCTAAGCCTCACGACAAGCTAAGCTTCTAAGTGCCAGCGAGCAGTCCAAAGCGTCGGATTACCCTGGAGGCAACGAGGGAGACTGAGGCAGCGGGCTTGTTCGCCCTCAACCCTGCGAAGGAGCAGGATGTGGCCGAGCCCAATGACACGGAGGCCAGGGAGTGGGAGAGCTGCGCGATGGAGCCAGCCATGGTGGGACGTTGGATCGCGTGATACAGGGAGATGTGCCAAGTTAGGCAGGTTCCTAGGTCTAGCACAAGCAAGTCCCAACAGCGAGTTGGGAGGTTGGCAGGTCAGAGGGTGGAGGGAAGGATGAGGGAGGTGGAAGAGGAGGGTGGGGGCAAGCCCGAGGGGAAGGTGAAAAGTGTGAGATGGTCTACCCGTATTGCCACGCTGTCGCGCGTTTATTCGGGGCCCGTGGGAGTTGGTGACGTCGACAGGTGAAGAATTGAGGCAGACGCTCACGTGGCTCTTGGAAGTGGATTGTGTTGAGAGGTTTGGGGGAGTTAGGAAGGTCGAAAATCAGGGCTTCGCGTGTACGCATTGGAAGGCCAAGTTTGTTGCTTTGAGGTGCTTAATTACTCAGCAAGGTTTAAACGGATTGAATTGGACTGTAGACAACGAAACACGTTGTTTCTAAACGTGAAATTTCGCTACTATCAAGAATGTTCTGAGGGATTTGTCGGTTCACTACGTGTAACTTGTGTAGTATCAGCACAATCTGCGAGTTAGGTCGCAACCCGAGGATCCCTTTATCGAACAACACCTTCTTCTTTTCCCTTCCCTTGGCTCTGGGATTCTTTCCTTCCACTTCTCTCTTCTCCCCACTCGAGCCTCTACCTTCTGGGCTGCGTTGGGGTTTAGTCGCCTACCCACTTCATCAGAACCCTCGGCCCATCTGCCATCATGGTGCGAAGCTTGAGACCTGTGTTAGGGTAGTAGACTGCCGTTTCGTCGTTGTTCTATTCGGGAATCGGTCGTGTCTCGTGTTGCGAAGTTTCGTGTTCAGCATGGGTGTTAGGTTACAAGGTGGCTGTTTTTTTAGGGTTGTTGATTAGCTGTCCGAGTGCTCTCCCAAGTCGCCTATCGACCTTCTAGACGCCGTTATTCAGAAACATCTGCACTTCTTGCCTTTTCTCTACTACTGTGCGCTGTAGCTGTTTCTGGAGCTGCTGGGAGCCATGTTTACGCCATCCTAAATACTCATAGTTGCCGATCCCTGTGACCTCGTTCAGGTTCTCTCTAACGACATTGATCTGCTGCACCCGCCAGCGGAGCTGGAGAAGCGCAAGCACAAGATGAAGCGCCTTGTACCCACACCGAACAGCTTCTTCATGGTGAGCTCGCATACTGGCGATTCCTGTAGTTGTCCTTGTGGTCTGTTTTAGTCTGAAGACGGATCTTTGCCGTCTCAATTATACGCCAAGGGACCTTGCTCAACAGCTGTGCCGCGTTTCCCATCGTTCCGTAGGTACGGTAAATTGTTGATTTCCTCGAGTCGGATTTTGTGGAAGCTAAGGCTATTGCCTCAGATAGAGGAACCTTGTCGTTCGGCTCTGTAGTCTTGAAGGATTAGGTTTTTTTTAGCATGTTTGACTTTCGTTCATTTCGTTGTTAGGCTATCGACTGGGCCGTCTTCTATAGCGTTCTTCATCCCCTCTGCCCGCCTATTAGTGTTCCGTCATTCTCCTCCCTCCCAATGTTTGCCCAACGTCGTTCAACCTTTCCCTTCCCGTTCCTCCCCGATCTCGCGTCCCGACACCTCTTCTTTTCCCTCTCATGTTTGGTGCTGGATTCGGTGCCTTAGTCTCATGCTTACTCACGATTGATCTGTCCGATGGTTTGTTCCACTCTTAATGCATGCCATGCAGGATGTCAAATGCCAGGGCTGTTTTAACATGTAAGTTTTTTCACTGAACATACTTGCCATCGATTTTCGTTGTATGGCTTCCATGATTGCTGTCTCTAATACCTCTCTTGAGGGTGTTCTTATTGGCTGTTTGCAGCACCACGGTGTTCAGTCACTCTCAGACCGTTGTCCTATGTGGCTCCTGCTCCACGGTCCTTTGCCAGCCTACTGGTGGCAAGGCTCGGCTTACTGAGGGCTGCTCTTTCCGCCGGAAGGGTGATTAGAGGAGCAATGCGGTGCCTGTGATGGCTTATCCTGATTAGTTTGTGTCCTTGTTTCATCAGCTGCCTATAAGTGGCTGCCTTTCATTCCCATTTCATGCTCTTGGATGTGTAAGGGGAAGAAGTGGTAGCAATTGGAAAATGTAACAGCAGCAGGGAAGTCTTATCATTTGGCTCTTTGTCTGCCTTTGGGATTTCAATTTCCTAATTCTGTAGGTGCTCAAAACAAACAAGTGTTTCCAAATTACATAACTGTAATAAAGTTGTTGACTGACCATGTACCCATTCTAAGCAACGTTGAGACTTGTGACAGTAGAGAAGCGAATCCGTGATGTAGAGCCTTCTCAATCTGACACCACGAACATCAACAAATCTTCGCCTGCCGCGTTGGAGGCCGTTTTGCCTCTGTGTTGGAGCATTTTTTCCACCCACTTATTTGCTGACGCCACCCTCTTTCTCTCTCTCCTTCCCTCCCAACCCCTTGGAGTTGTCGCTTCCCGCCTTATGATTCTAAGTGCGCGGATTACATACTTGTCCAGGTCGAGACGCCCGGTTTGGTTGTTGTGGTCTGTCTACCAAGCATGTTTGGTTGTTGCTGTCCAGCTATTATTAGTTAGTAAGCTGCGTGCTAAGCCTCAATAGCCATTGTCGCGTTAATCATTATTCGTGGTCTTTCCCAGCCACACTTTTCTGAACTACCATACGCTAGTCACCTTTGATATGTCTTTACGCCGAGCGGGATGTCGTGATAATACCATGGAGACTAATAAGTAGCGTCAAAGTCAGCATTGCGAGCCGCATCTAAGCTAATTCTCGAGGAAACAAGCAGAACACAGTAGACAACCCCACAGCGCAGCGGTCTCGGCGACACGTGGTTTATCCGTCGCGTACTTGGAATTTACTTGTGGATTCGCCGTTCTTCGCGACATTCCGTCGCACAGCGCTGGACTCTCTATTATCCGTTACGATAGCGAATCCTTTTCGCAGTGTTCCATCAAGGAATGTCACCCATGGCCGGGAGTGCCGCTGCCGTTGCGTCCACAGCGCCGAGTGTCACGCAAGGACTCATGGGCGATAGCACCGCGAGAGGGCCAGACAATGGTACGTCCACACGCCCTACCAACACGACCGATTATCTTATTGTGACCATTCTCGGTCTCTTACCCGCCCTGGGTTTACTCGGTTCCGATTCGGCTCTTGCTCTTAGCGGTATGGTTCCGCGAACTGCCGACGTAAACCCTTTCATAAAAACCCCCTCTCCACGAACCCGAACCCTGGACGGACTTTTTCCTTCTTCTTCTTCAACTTCTTTCTCTTTTTCGTTCACCTCTTTCCTTGGTGTTGAATCCGTCAGAGCGCGAGAACGAGGTGGGGTTGGAGGCGCTGCTGCGCGGGCTGTACGAGCGCATGTGTCCGCGCGATCCCGACTACAACGTGCGGCTGGAGCTCGTCGAGCGCATCAACATGCTCGTCGCCTCCGTGCCCGCCTGCAAAGGTGCGATGCCATGCCTCTCTTTCCCGGTTGAGACGGAGGCACAAGTAGGCGAGAGGCAGAAGCAGAGGCAGAGGCAGAGGCAGGCGTAGAAGCAGAGGTAACGACAGCGTTTGCTACGAAACATTTGGTGGTTGACGAGATGAAAGGAACTAAACAAGAACAGCCATACTCGGTTCAAGCGACTCGTTTCTAGTCGAACATGAAGAAGCGTTGGTCACGCTTGACGGAACATCCCCTCTTTCCGCTCCCCCCTCTCGTCTGCCTTCTCTCCTCTTCCCTCTCCACTCTCGCCTCGCCTCTGCCGTCTCCGCTCTCCCCTCTCCCCTCTCCCCTCTCCTCTCCCCTTTCCCCTGTCCCCCGTCCCCTCCCCGCTTCCACACCCCCCTCCCCTGCGCCTCCCGCTCGCCGCGCGTCCGCGCATCCGCGCGCCCGTGCGCGCTGCCGTTCGGGTCGTTCGCGTCGGACCTGTTCTCGCCGTGGGGCTTCAACCCCGTCCCCTCGTCCCTCCCTCCTCCTCTCTCTCTTATCTCACCTCCCCACTCTTCCCCCGCTTCCGCCCCGCCCTTCCGCGTACTGTCGCCCCGCGGGCAGGCATGGAGGTGGTGCCGTTCGGGTCGTTCGCGTCGGACCTGTTCTCGCCGTGGGGCGACCTGGACCTGTCGCTGGAGGGCGAGGTGCGCAGCACGGGGGGCAACGGGCTGCGCCGCCAGGGCGTCAACATACTGCATGCCATTCACTACCGCCTGCTGCACACAGGTATGCTGTCGTCTCGTCCCTGCTGCCTCTCTCTCGCTCTCGCTCTCGTTCTCGTTCTCTCACCCAACCCCCCCCCCCCCCCCCCCCCCCCACCCACACACTCACACCCACACACACGCTCATCCTTTGCCTCCTTCCACCTTCCTCGTCCCTCTTTTGCCTTTTCACCTCTCCATCACCGATCCTCACCCTCCCGCTCTTCATTGTAATGCACGCACGTTCTCATGACTGCTCCGTTCCCTGTCCCCCGGGGTTCCCTCCTGTTTCCTCGCCCGCCTCCGCTCCTCCGCGCTCCTCCCCGCTCCTCCGCGCTCCTCCCCGCTCCTTCGCTCCTTCACTCTCTTCCCCGCTCCTCCCCGCTCCTCCGCCCTCCTCCGCCCTCCTCCGCGCTCGCTCGCTGGCGCGCGCGCAGGCATGGCGCGGGGAGTGCAGATAGTGGCGCACGCGCGGGTGCCGCTGGTGATGTTCACGGACGCTGCGACGGGCATCGCGTGCGACCTGTCCGTGGGCAACGGCACAGGCGTCTTCAAGTCCACAATCCTGCGCTCGCTGCTCCGTTTCGACGCGCGCTGCCGCCCGCTGCTCTTCCTCGTAAGTGCCAGCTCTGCGCCGCGCGGCGCGTGCCGCTCCGTCCGCGTTTCCTCTCGGGCCTCGTCTAAACCCTCCTTTAAATCTTCTTGCGATTCTTTCCTTTTTCCCCTCCTCCCCCCACACCCCTCCCCCACGCCCCCACCCCCCATCTCCACACTCCCCACCCTCTGCATGTGCGCCCTGAAGTATTGTCATTGGTGCACAACTTTTTTTGCACTTCTCCAAAGCTCATTGCAACTCTTCGGTCAACTCATTGGTGCACCATCGCCTCCTTCCTTGTCCTGCCGTGTTCTGCACTTCATTCATACCAAACCCCACCCGTCCTCTCTTTCCTCTCGCCCTTCCCCGCCTCTCACTCCCGCCCGTCCCTTCTGCTCCCCTGTCCTCTCCCTCGTCCTCTCTTCTCCCCTTACCCTCACCCCCCGTCCTCCCGTACCCTCATCCCCCCACCCCCTCATCCCTCCCGTCCCCTCATCCCCCCATCGCTTCATCCCCATTTCCCCTCACCCTGTGCAATCCCTCCCCCGTGGCATGGCATGGCATGGCATGGCATGGCGTGGCGTGGCGTGGCGTGCGTGCAGGTGAAGGCGTGGGCGAAGGCGCAGGGCATAAACGACCCCAAGGGCGGCTCGCTCAACTCCTTTGCGCTCGCGCTGCTCGTCATATTCCACCTGCAGACCGTGCAACCGCCCATCCTCCCGCCCGTCCGCCACATCCTCGGACGACGTGCGTGCCCGCTACCCTACCCTACCCTACCCTACACCACCCTACTCTACTATACCCTACTCTCCCTACCCTACCCTTTCCTCCCCTCCCCTACCCTACCCTATCCTACCCTATCCTACCCTACCCTGTGCTGTCGCGTGTATAGTGTTTTCGTGTATTAATCCCTCCCGTGGCCGGGGCTTCCAGCCACAGCACGTTGTTGTCATGAGCCGTGCCTTTGGGGCACGTTGCCTTCTTCAGTGCATGGCTGCTCGTCGCCGCTTATGTCGTCTCAGCGCTTACCATCGGCGCGGCACATGTCCTCTCGCTCGCTCCTGCCACCTCCTCCCCGCTGTTCCCTTCTCTCTCTCTCTCCTTGGACTCCCCCGGTTTTCCGTGTCCACTATCACCTCCCCCCTCCTTCGTGTGCCTGTGTGGTGTGCATGCGGCCACGGAGAGGAGAGAACAGAGCAGGAGGCTGCTTTTGAAGCACCGTAGAAAATGTACATTTTCAACTCATCTCCCCCCGCTCCACTCATCTGTCTTGTGTGCATGGGTGTGTTTGCGTGCATGCACGTGGCAGTGGAGGGAATGGAGCAGAAGGCGGTGAGGCATCAGCGCATAGCAGAGTGTGAGGAGCGGGTGGAGAGCATGATAGCAGCGCGGGACAAGGGCGAGCCAGTGGAATGGGGTGGGGCGGGGAAGAACACCAGCTGTGTCGCCGTGCTGCTCGCGTCTTTCTTTGCCAAGGTATGTGCTCCGCTCTGCTCTGCTCTTCTCTACTCGTCTCTGCTCGTCTTTGCTTTGCTCTTACCCGTTTTGTTTTCTTATTTATAGCAAGCCTTCGCCCTCGCCCTTGCGACTGCAGGCCTTGTTCCGTGTGTTGAAGAGATGTAGAAGAATTCACCTCACACCTTGGCCCGAATCCCGTTGTCCCATGGCAGTACGATGCAGTGCGTGAGCAGTGGGCGCAGGGCCTGGCGGTGCGGCCGCTGACGGCAGAGTGGGGCGACCTCACGGTCACGCACTCATCATTCGCCCAACGCAGCTACTCCATGATCGTGAGTGCTGCTGTCTCGTCACCGCCGCCTGTGGGTCGGGTGGGCCTGGGGCCTGGGGCCTGGTCTGGTCAGACTAGCAGCTGATCCCCATCATCCGCCTCATCCCCATCATGCCTACCATTCCCAACTTCCCAAGCTGTTGTGACTGCAGCTATTGTTAGCAATGGCCACTGCTGCTGCTGCCGTGACACTTGGCAGTTGTCGTGCATGGTGTAACCCTCTACCGTGGGCTGTCCAGCTTGTTCACTCCACTCCCCTCACCCCCCTACACCTCCACTCCAGTTCACTCCTCTCCACTCCACTCCACCTCACTCCACTCTGTCCAAACACCAGGTGGAGGATCCATTCGACCCACGGGAGAACTGTGCACGCTCCGTGCAGCCGCACTCCTTCCCCAGCGTCTGCGACGCCTTTGCAGCCGCAGCACGCGCCTTCTCGCCCCTCCCGCCCGCCCACTCACTCCGCCAGCTGCGCGTGGCCCTCTTCAAATGGCCGTCCAACCAGGCACGCCCCTCCTTCACCACCTCGCACCCCGTTGACACCATGCCTGTGCGCTTCAACCGGGGAAACCAGGGCAGAATGGGGCCGAAAGGAGGGGGTGGCGGAGGGGGAGGGGGAGGGGGAGGCGGGGGCGTTGGGAGGAGTCCAGGGGAGGATTGGGTGAGAGGGGGCGGGTTTGGGCGCGGAATGGTGAGTGTGGGAAGGGGGAGGGGTTTGCACCAGGCTGCTGCGGCTGCTGGAGCTGCTGCTTCTGCTGCAGCCGTTGCTGCTGCTGCGTCTGCTCCTGGGATGATTGGGGGGCCTGTTGGGCGGGATAGCCGGGGAGGAAGGGGACTGGCTGCTGTTGCTGCTGCTGAGCTCGTTCCTGTAAACGGTAGTGGGGCAAAGCAGAGTGGTCTGGAAGCAGCAAAGGTGAAGGAGGGGAAAAAGAAGGGCACCGGGGAGAAGGCAGGGGAAGAGAATGCGCAGGATAGGCAGAAACAGCAGCAGGAACAGCAGCAACAACAGCAGCAACAGCAACAACAACAGCAGCAGCAGTCGCGTTTAGGCGGAGAGCAAGCAGCAGCGCAGGCATCTTCCAACCCTTCCACATCCGTCCCCTCCCTCCTCTCCACACCTCACAGACCCCAACCCCACCACGCATACCCCCCTCTCCAATCCTCCGCTCCAGCTGCTCCCACCACTCTCAACCTCCCCGTAAATCCCCAATCCCCTCTACTTTCCGCCACTGCCCCTCGTGCCGTCAGCCCATACCTATCTCCATACCAGCTTCACAACCCAGCGTTCCCAGGCATGCGGTTTGGACCGTCAGGCTATCCTCTAGGGCTTGCGGCCTCGCATTTGAATCCCCATATGGGTCTTGCTCCGCTTGGCCCTGGGCTAGCAGAAGTGCTCAGTCTCGCCCGCCCCACTCTTGGTCCTCCACACCCCTTGGGCTTCGGAGGCTTGCGAAGTGACTTCTCTGCAGCTGCTGCTGCTGGTCCTATCCCTCCTCCTGCTGCTCCCGCTGGTGCTGCTGCTGCTGCTGGCGGCGGCGGGGGCGGTGGAAGCAGCAGCACCAGTTCTGGCCATGTGGCTGCGGCGGGAGTAGCGGCGTCAGATGCAAGGGGAGGGGGCGGTGCAGCAGGGGAAGTTGCGGCAGGGAACGTGACCGGAGGGGTGTCGTGGAGTGTGGCTGGGGACAGGAGTCATGGTGTGTTGATCGACCGAGGCAAGGCAACAGCAGCAACGGCAGGTGTGAAAGGCGAGCGCGTGGCAGCAGCAGATGGGCACGTAGCGAATGTATCGGCTGCTGAAATCATCACTGGGCGTTTAAGCGAGGTGTCTTTGAAGCACGGGGATGGGAGGAGAGAGGAGGTGCATGTGCACGGGAGGAAACAGGAGGAGCAAGCTGATGGTAAGAGGGGAGTTGAGAAGCAGGCAGAGAAGGAGGAGCAGAAGATGCAGTTGCACAGGGAAGGTCTGAAAAAGGGAGGTTTGGGAGGTCATTTGGATGCACATATCGCTGCTGTCAATAACACCTCACAAGTGGCTCAACTTGCTCCTGCTCCTGTCCGTGTCCCTGCTCCTGCCGCTGCCCCTGCCCCTGCTCCTGCTCCTATCCCCGCCCCTGCCCCTGCTCCTCCTGTTGCGAGTGCTGTTGCTGCTGCTGCTGCTGCTGCTGCTCTTTCTCCTGCTCCTGCCTCTGCCCCTGCCCCTGCCTCTGCTGCTCCTACTCCTTCTCCTGCCCCTGCCCCTGCCCCTGCCCCTGCCCCTGCTCCTGCTCCTGCTCCTGCCGCTGCTGCCGCCCCTGATGCTCCTGCGTATAATGCAGGTTCGGCAAGGGGGGGTGGTAGGGTAGGGGCAGCAGCAACAAGGGGTCGAGGGGAAAGGGGGGGTCGTAGGGGAGGGAGAGGAGGAAGTGGGGCTGTTTCTTCCGAGTCTGCCGCAGCAGCGTATGCTGCCGTGACTAAAGCTACAATGGAAGCGGGACACGTTGCAGGCAGTAGGGAGGCGACAGCAGCACCGCCAGCAGCACCATCTGCAGCAGCACCCGTAGCACCACCAACAGCAGCAGCTGCTGCAGCTGCAGCACCCGCAGCGCCACCACTGCCGGCAGCAGCGGCAGCGAATGGTGAGGCAGGGACACAAGAGGGCATGGATGGTGGGCGGCGAGGGAGGCGGAGACCAAGGAAGGGGAGAGGAGGAGGAGTACAGAGAGGAGGGGGCAACGGGGCAGGGTACCATGGGGACGAGGCATGGGCGGACACAGAGTCAGAACGCAGAGAGCAGCCCCCGCCACCACCCAGCCATGCCATGTGGTCGTGGGGGGATCAAGGGCAAACCGGGGTGGGAGGGCAACAGGGCGGCATGCAAGGTGTGCAGGGGGTGACACAGGGCGGACAGGGAGGAGCACATGGGCAAAGAGGAGCGCAGGGTGGGCAGGGAGGGCAGGAGAGGCATGGGGCAGGGCGAGGAGGGTGGAAGCAGCATGCTGGGTGGCATGGTCGTGGTGGGGGTGCGCAGGGGTATGGGTATGGAGGTGTGCAGGGTGGGCGAGGAGGGGGTGTGCAGGGGCAGCAGCAGAATGGGTACCAGGGTGGCCAAGGAGCTGTGGGGAATGTAGGAGGTGCTGGTGCTGGTGGTGCTGCAAACAATTCTAGGAGGAAGCGAGGGGGGAGAAAGGATCAGGTGTGGAAGGAGAAAGGTGGTGGTGAATAAATAGATCGCTTGTGTTATAACAGTGATACGGGACTTTCTAGATGGCTTGGATGATCGCACCATCCTTGAACATATTTCAAGGTTGTTTCAGCTAACGGTACTTTTGAGTAATCTGTAGAGTCCGTTCGGGTCTGAACGTTTGCGTTCCTTTGCCTGACTGCGTCCTCTCCTGTACATTCTCAATGCTAAGGTTAGGGGTACATTTGTTCGTGGTGTGTTTCTCACTCTTGGTCACGTGTAATTTTTTATCCTCTTGGTGTGCTGTTCAGTCCGACTCACTGGGTGTGCTCTACATCACTTCGGTCATTGCTTGATTGCTAAATATATTCCGTGTGTCCATGCAGTTGTATAAATGGTGGTATACACTTCGATTTTACAGCATGATGTTACGAACTGGTTATGAATGTAAATGTGAATGATGAGCTTGATTGTAAGCAGCAACCCAATCATAAAGTCTGCTCGTTACACTTTCGACCCTCTATCTGCCGCTTTGCCACCTGGAATTACCACCGACACTGCAAAAAGGGGCACCTCCATTTCAACAGCACACGTCTGAACTACAGTAAGCAAGAAAACCTGGTTTGAACAAGACACGAGAGCCTGGACCGTTATTTTCGAGACTGTTTTTCCGGCATTTGAACACGACGTCCCTCCTCAGTAGGGCCTTTTGTTTTGCCAGTGTCTGCTGGGACGAGGTTCCAGCTTCAATATTTAGGGCTAGGGAGACCGAATTTCCCCTTTTTCATCTAAAACCCTGTAATCAACTGTCAAGGGTAAGTACTCTAGAGCCTTCATTAAACTAAAAACATACCAAAGTCGATACCCGCTGTACAAAGGGGTGAGTGTTGACTGATTGTGCTGGCCTCCCCTGCCATTGGTTCGTTGTCCTACCCCACATTGTCATCCTCGTCACGAACTCACGTCACCCCGCCGCCACTATCCATACAAAGTGGCAGCCTGGCCTGGACCACACCCAATCCAACATGAAATGCTATTTTTGAACATTGCAATTTTTTGACAATTCTTGGAACTCGCACCATGCGGAAATTGCTTGCCTTCTGATTTCTTGGTTTAGCTCTAACACCACCGACACGCGTCACCACCTCCTTGCTTCTTCTTCCCCCAGTCGCGCTCCGCCACCGCTTCTCCGCGTCCTCCGTATCCCGCTCAACTCCGCACACATCATGGCGCGGCGGGGACACGCGCCGGCAGCGCGTGCGGCGGCGCTTGTGCGCGCCTTAGCGCTACTGCACTGCGTTTTGCTCGCCGTGGGAGTACCCATTGCCGTTTCCCAAGGTCGGCACCTCATTTCATCGTTCTCTCCATTATTATAACACCGTCGCACGCAAAGAAAGAAGCGCACTTTCGCATTGTTTCATGAAGTCACGATGCGACACTTCCTTTTGCACTGCAGTGCCGCCTCTCTTACCACATCGTTTCATTGGACGCAACCCTCCTCTTGCCCTCCTGCTTGTATTTGCCGCTTCTATCCCCTGTCCACGTCTCCTTTCACCTCGCGCTTCCTACCTCTCACGTGCGAAAACAGCTCATCCCTTTCCAAAGGCTCCCACAGCCAGCAGAACGGAAATGCCGTCCGCGTCGCTTCACACCAAAACTTCACTTTCCTCTTTCACACCTTCCCGTTTGCTTTTTCGGTGCCTATCCCACCACGCACCCGCAATCTCCGCGCTTCGCGGCGCAAATCGCGCTACAGGCGCTGTGCTTCAGGACTGCCAGAAGGCGTGGGGGCAGACGTTCCCCGGATGGTCGGCGGGATCGGACTGCGCGAAAGCAGCGCGGCTGACGTGCAATGCGCAGGGCATGGTTACCTCCATGTGAGACTAGTTGGTACTTGAGAGGTTGGTACTTGAGAGGTTGATTTTGAGGTTGGTACTTGAAACTTTTCAAAAAGCATGGTTGTTTCCATCTGAGCCCTGCTGTTCATGTCATGTTATCGTGTGTGTGTGTGTGCCGGTGTGGCAGGAACATGCCATACGCGGGGCTGAGCGGGAGCATTCCGTTGAGCATCAGCGGACTGAATGCACTTACCACACTGTGAGCGAGCGCCCGTGCGCGCGCGCACTCTTGCGCGTGTCACCCTTGCGCGCGCACTCTCCTCCGCACATGCACACACTCCGCGTCTCTACTCCCGCGCCTTCCGTCCCACGCGTGCATATGCATGCACGTTGATGCGTGCTCTCGCGCACCCTCATTGTGTGACTTCATCCCCGTGGTTGCTTGAGGCTGATGCTACCGTTTTCAGCTCGCAATCGCATTCAAGTTCGCTATGCCCGCCTGCTTCACCCTCTCACGCCCCCCCTCCCCCTCCCCCTCCCCATAACACGTCACATTCCCCTGCTGACATTCCCTCACCCCCTTTTCTACCCCCTCTTCCCGCCTTCAAACGTCCCCCCTCCCCCCTTCCTTCTCCCCTTCCCCATCTCCCGCTCCCCTTTCTCCGCCCGTTTCCCCCTCGCGTGCGTGGGTCTCATGGGCTCGGCGCAGCGACCTGTCGTCCAACAACCTCACGGGGCTCATCCCCTCCACCGTCACCGCGCTCTCCAAGCTGCAGTGGATGTCAGTCGCCCTGCCATGCCATGCCACGCCATGCCATGCCACGCCATGCCATGCCTTTCCCAGCCGTGCCGTCCATGCTACGCCAAGCCACACCATGCCACGCCACGCGCGCGCGTTCGCAATTTCAATTCATGCTAACAGACTCGATTCGATGCTGGTTTACCTGCACTGCACTATGCGTGTTCGGCCACTCCTAGGAATCTCAGATGCTCGTTTGCACCCCATTCTCCACCCTTACTCACATCCCACTGCCCCGCTCTCCACTCCACCTCCCCCTTTCCCCTTCTGTTCTCCTCCCCCCCCATCATTCTCCCTCCCCCCATCCCCACCTTTTTCTCTCAAATGTTTCCGCGTCTTGCAGGAGCCTGGGTTCCAACTTTCTGATGGGGCCCGTACCCCCATGCACCGCCCTCTCCAGCCTCTCCTATCTGTGCGCCCTCTGCCTCTCTTTTGAGAACTCTCAATCGTGACTCTGGTTTAGCTGATGTGCCCTGTGCCCCCATGCACCCCACTCCGTGCACCCTATGTGCAACCCATGCACCGCCCTCTCCAGCCTCTCCTATCTGTGCGCCCTCTGCTCTGTTACCCCCCCCCCCCCATGCTGCCGTCGTTTCTCTCTCCTCGTCTCGCATTCCGCCTCTTCCTTGCACCGCGCATGACCACAAACCAACCGCGCATAAACCGCGCATACCCACACAGGACCACACATAACCACAACAAAACGGCTCACACATCGTGCGTAACCGCACAGAACCGCGCGTAACCACGGATGCACTTCCATTTTCACAAAGTCAACCGAAATGAACCCCCCACTCCCTCATCACCATCTCCCATCCAATCCCAGCCGAGCCCCTTCTTCTTTTCTCATCACTCTCCACCTCCGCACCTCCACTCTTACCCACCTCCTGTCTAAACATGCTACAATCCCCACTACGCATCCGCCACCCACCTCCTCCATACGTGCAGCAATCTGGCGTACAACCTGCTATCGGGGGAGGTGCCACCTGCCGTCCATCCCACCCTCCAATCCCTGTCAGTCTCTCCCCGCTCTTTACGCCCCCTCTGGCTGCCCATTCCCCCACAATCCACATCTCCACGCCATTCCACATCATCTCCCCCACACTCCACCATATCCTCTCTGCAACCCCCGCTTCAATCCATCCATCCACCCCCACACCCCAGATAAATTGAATCTACTGGTCATACGGGCCATACAGCACAGATGCGAGTGCAATGCACTACACAGAATTCCCACCTCGAGTTTGTGGGCATTGTGATTCCTACATGATATCAGCGCACGACTCCTCTCCTCACACATGACTGGCGCCAGCCAACCATCACGGTTCGCCCGTCTCTCTTCCCCCCTGCATGTATCCTCGTCTGCTATCCCCTCCTCTCTTCTCCTCAACCACCCCCTCTCTTCTCTCCTCCCCCACCCCGGGCTGCTCTCCTCCCCTCAGGCGTCTTCTCCACAACAACCTCTCGGGATCGCTGCCAGCCACCATTGGGAGCTTCTTCCACCTCACTGAACTGTACTCCACCGCACTGCCTTTCTGCCCTTCCCTTTCTCCCCTTCCCTTTCTCCTCTTCATGTTATCTCCTTCCCTTTCTCCCCTTTCCTTTCTCCCCTTTCCTTTCTCCCCTTTCCTTTCTCCCTTTTCCTTCCTCCCCTTCCTTCTTTACTCCCCTACCCTTTCTCCCCTTTCCTTTCTCCCCTTCCCTTTTCCCCCTTCTCTTTCTCCCCTTCCCCTTCTCCCCTTCCCCTTCTCCCTTTCCTTACCTCCCTTTCCTTCCCGCCCGTCTTGCTCCGCAAATCCCGTTTGTCTCATCTCATCCACTCCCTTTCTCCCCATGACGTCTCACTACCTATACATGTCCTCCTCACCTCACTCCTCATGGGAGCTCCATCGCTCACCCATCCTCCCCCTCCTCCGCCCTCTCCCTCTCCCTCTCCCTCCTCGCCCTCCATCCTCTCCCTTCCTCCCTCCCTCACTCCCTTCCTCCAACCCCCCCTCCCTCAATCTTCCCCTCCTCCCTCCTCTACTGCTCTACGCCATGCACTTCCCCATGTTTGTCCCTCAAGACCACTTGAACCTTGCCAACTTGCATGTCAACGCCTCCTCAAACGCATCCCATGCATTTCCATCCCATCTCATCCCATCCCACCCCAACACGTGGCACCCACCCACCAGCGATGTGTCGTTCAACGGTCTGTCGGGCTCTCTGCCTGTCGCCATCAGCAACCTCACCAGTGCGGCTGTCCTGTGAGCGCTCTCTCCCCCTCGCACGCACCATCCATCCGCATACCGCCAGTTTTGATCCGCCTCCAATAATGCCCCCTTGCATCATCCACACTAGCGTCCCTCACCCTACCCTCGCTCATCTCGTCCCCCGTTCGTTCCTGGATCTGCTCACCCCTCTCCCTTCCCCTTGCCCCACTCTCCCCACTCGCCTTACTCTCCCCACTCGCCTTACTCTCCCCACTCGCCTTACTCTCCCCACTCTCAGTCCCCTGCCATCAGCTGCTTTTGCTGTGCTCTCAAACTGCTTTTTGTTTTGACCTGTGCCATCGTCACTGGTGTGTGTGTTTGGGGGGGCGGGTTGCGGTTGGGGAGAGGCACGCATGTGCGCTGCGCATGTGAGTGTGCAAATGTGAGTGTGCAAATGTGAGTGTGTTCAAATGTTTCCGCATGTGTTCACATGCGTTCACATGTGTGCATGGTTGTGCATGTGTGCACATGTGTGTGTGGGGGGGGGCCTTGTGGGGGGACCTTGGGGGGACCTTGGGGGGGGACCTTGTGGGGGGACCTTGTGGGGGGACCTTGTGGGGGGACCTTGGGGGGGGCCTTGTGGGGGGACCTTGTGGGGGGACCTTGGGGGGGGACCTTGTGGGGGGACCTTGTGGGGGGACCTTGTGGGGGGACCTTGTGGGGGGACCTTGTGGGGGGACCTTGTGGGGGGACCCCATCGCATACATCAGGGAGCTGTGTTGCAACACCATGTCTGGCACGGTACCCGATGGCATCTCCACCCTCACCAACCTTCAATTTCTGTATGTCACCCACGCCACCCCTCCGCCACGCCTCACCTCCCTCTGCTTCCACCACCCCTCCCATTCCATTATAACCTCCCACGCACCCAATTCCCACGCACCCACCTCCCAGCACCACCCAATCAGCATGAGTCCATCCATCCATGCAACACCAACCAGCCATCCAATCGCTCCCCTTGAGCTCCATACACAACTTCTTCTGACGTGCCTAAAACGTGTGCTCCTTGCACTAACCCTCTCTCTGCTGCACTCAATCCGACAACACCACCTTCCTGCAACAACACCAAGCCCCGCTCTAACTCCCATCCCCTCAATCACCTTCTCCCTGCATTCACCCTTTGTGTGCTCTCTCCCCTCCCTCTCCCTCGTCCCTCCTCTCTCCCCTCCTCTCTCCCCTCCCTCTCCCCTCCCTCTCCCCTCGTCTCCCCTCCCTCTCCCCTCGTCTCCACTCCCCGGTTTCCTCCCTCCTCTCTCTTTTGTGTCCCCATCCTCTCCTCTCTTCCCATGTGCACCGCACTGCAGTGATCTGGGAGACAACAACTTCACAGGCCCATTTCCCCCATCCATCTTCTCGCTTTCCAATCTCAGAGACCTGTATGTGGCGTCAACAAGCCTTACCGCACTGCCATGCATTACCATGCCATGCATTACCATGCCATGCATTACCATGCTATGCATTGCCACGCCATGCCATGCGCTATGCCATGTGCTGTGCTGCCATCAGACGCCGTGCCGTACAAACCACTGAGGCACATCCATCCATTGGATGACAAATGACCAGCACAACACATCCCTTCTGCTCAATCATTTGCTGCAAGAGTCGGTCCTTTTTTAAGCCAATATATGGGACGAACGCACTTTCGTGTGCGCACTGCACTCTCGTGCATACCGGAGGTTACATCGCATGCACACTACATGCACATTGTCCGCGGATGCACATTGCATGCACATTGCATGCACACTACATGCACATTGTCCGCCCATGCACATTGCATGCACATTGCATGCACACTACATGCACATTGCATGCACACTACATGCACATTGTCCGCGCATGCACATTGCATGCACATCGCATGCACATTGCATCATTGCATGCACATCGCATGCACATTGCATGCACATCGCATGCATGCATCCATGCGCACACGCCTCACCGCACACACACACCCTTCCCCCACCAAGTCGCTGTACGACAACCAATTCGTCGGCTCTGTCCCTGACACCGTCAGCAGCGCCTCAAAAGTCGTCGTTTGAGGCGCCTCAAAACTCACCGCACCGCACCGCACCGCACACACCACACCCTTCCCCCCATGCATGCACCAGGTCGCTGTACGACAACCAATTCGTCGGCCCGGTGCCGGACGCCATCAGCACGCTCACCAAGCTCAAGGACCTGTGAGCACCGCTGCCCTGCTCTGCTCTCCCACTCCGCTTCTGTATATTAAGCGCCTCAAGTAGTTTGTTAATGTTTTGTAGGCACCTAAGAAAGTATGTTATTGTTCTTGAGGTGCCTCAAAAGGCGGACTCAAGGACTACCTGTGAGCACCGCTGCTCTGTGCCCGCGTATGATCACACACCCCCACTCCGCTGCTCCACAACTCGCTCGACACGCACTTCACTCCTCCACCTCCTTACGTTCCTCACACATGTGCCTCCCCTCTTCACCTCACCTCTCTCCCCTTTCCCTCCTCTCCTTCCTCTCACCAACTTTTACTCACCTCCATGTGCAATCTCCCTCATGGCTTTCCTCTTGCCTTTGTCACCCCCCCGTGACCTCTCCCGCTTTCCCTTTTCTCCCACGCCTCGTGTGGCCTCTGTATGTGTGCACAGAAACATTTTCCGCAACAGCCTCTCTGGCCCCCTCCCCTCGGGCATTGGAAGCCTCGTGATGATGGAGTACATGTGAGCCTGCCTCCCTTTCTCTTTTCCTTCCTCCCTCTTCCCTCCCTCCCTTCCTTCCTCCCTCGCTCACTCCCTCCCTCGCTCGCTCCCTCCCTCGCTCCCTCCCTCCCTCCCTCCCTCCCTCCCTCCCTCCCTCCCTCCCTCCCTCCCTCCCTCCCTCCCTCCCTCCCTCCCTCCCTCCCTCCCTCCCTCCCTCCCTCGCTCCCTCCCTCGCTCCCTCCCTCGCTCCCTCCCTCCCTCCCTCCCTCCCTCCCTCCCTCCCTCCCTCCCTCCCTCCCTCCCTCCCTCCCTCGCTCCCTCCCTCCCTCCCTCCCTCCCTCCCTCCCTCGCTCCCTCCCTCGCTCCCTCCCTCGCTCCCTCCCTCCCTCCCTCCCTCCCTCCCTCCCTCCCTCCCTCCCTCCCTCCCTCGCTCCCTCCCTCCCTCCCTCCCTCCCTCCCTCCCTCCCTCCCTCCCTCCTCCCTCCCTCCCTCCCTCCCTCCCTCGCTCGCTCCCTCCCTCGCTCCCTCGCTCCCTCCCTCCCTCCCTCCCTCCCTCCCTCCCTCCCTCCCTCCCTCCCTCCCTCCCTCGCTCCCTCCCTCCCTCCCTCCCTCCCTCCCTCCCTCCCTCCCTCCCTCCCTCCCTCCCTCCCTCCCTCGCTCGCTCCCTCCCTCGCTCCCTCGCTCCCTCCCTCCCTCCCTCCCTCCCTCCCTCCCTCCCTCCCTCCCTCCCTCCCTCCCTCCCTCCCTCCCTCCCTCCCTCCCTCCCTCCCTCCCTCCCTCCCTCCCTCCCTCCCTCCCTCCCTCCCTCCCTCCCTCCCTCCCTCAATCCCTCGTTCTCCCACTCCCTCTCATGTCTGCTTCATGCTCTGTCTCTCCAGCCGCTCCCTCCCTCCTTCCCCCCCTCCCTCCCTCCTTCCCTCTCTTCCTCTCCCTCCCATCTCTCATATGCCTTCTTTGTTCCCGCGCTTCTTGACGTTGCTTTCCCCTTCCCAACCAACCATTCGTCACCATCCAATATGTGTATCTGTGGGTGTCTGCATGTGTGCATGCATGTGTGCGTGCATGTGTGCGTGCATGTGTGTGTGCATGTGTGCGTGCATGTGTGCGTGCATGTGTGTGTGCATGTGTGCGTGCATGTGTGTGTGCATGTGTGCGTGCATGTGTGTGTGCATGTGTGCGTGCATGTGTGTGTGCATGTGTGCATGCATGTGTGTGTGCATGTGTGCGTGCATGCACGGGAGCAGGAACATGCAGAACAACCAACTCAATGGGTCCATTCCAGCTTCCATTGGCAACCTCGTCAACCTCGACTACCTGTATGCTTGTACCACCACACACCACGCACACACAAACAACACACACACCACACACATGCCACACACGCGCACCACACACTGCACATGCACACACGCACGCACCACGCATGGCACATGTGGCGCACAGTTTGCACACTTCGTACTTATCTCCTCAATCAAAATGTTGCGGCTGCTTCCTATAAATAGGCAAGGTCATCTTTTCCATGTGTTTGAATGTGTAGTTTTGAGACGTCTCAAAGCTGCTTCTGATAAGTCGTCAAGGACATCTCTTCCATCCGCATCATACTTACATTCACCGCATCTCTTCCATTCAGTACAGTCTCACACTCATACGATCAACAGACCACTGCAGTCACTCACTCTAGTCTCTCTCTCTCCATTCCTCCTCTCTTCCTTCCATTGTCACCCTGCCCCCCCCCGTTCCTGCGTGCATGACAGCGACATAAGCGGCAATGCATTCACGGGTTCTCTCCCCGACTCCATGGGCCTGCTCACCAACCTCAAGAACCTGTACGCACCTGCACCACCATGCCTGCCCATGCCTGCCCATGCCTGCCCGTGCCTGCCCTCTTAAAGACCTGCCTCCATGCCCCACTGCCTCACTAGATTACCTCTTGTCTCCTGCTCGAGTCATGAGACGCGTCTGTTCTGCATTGTCCTTGTTTCAGGCCCCTTGCCATTTGGCTTCGCTTCCCTCGCACGCTCCTTGTTTGTCCACTGCTTTCCTTCATTGCAGCACCTGTCCAGCCACCCTTTTGCAGAGCACCTCAAGACCCTTTCTACGCGCACCCTCCCTACCACCCTGCGTCTACACCTGTGCCTCTACCTCCTCTACCTCCTCTACCTCCTCTACCTCTGCCTTCACAGACGCTTAAGAGGCCCCTCCTCTCTTTCTTTGAGTGTCTCATAACGTTGTGAGGTCGCCACACTGTAAAGCCCCAGCAGCATCATGCCAACGCCATGGCTCACTTGCCGCCCGGTGCTGCCTGCCTTCATCTGTTCGTCCATGTACTCTGCTCTGCTGCAACCACCCTCTGTCTCGCCTGTGTCCGTGTGGTTGACTCTAACGAGCTCGCATACTTCCCTGCACCTGTGTGGATGCATGTGTGCATGGGTGTGCATGTGCATGTGCGGGTGCATGTGTGTGTGCATGTGGATGTGTGCATGTGCATGTGTGCGTGCATGTGCATGTGTGCGTGCATGTGCATGTGTGCATGCATGTGCATGTGTGCGTGCATGTGCATATGTGTGTGCATGTGTGTGTGCATGTGTGTGTGCATGTGTGTGTGCATGTGTGTGTGCATGTGTATGTGCATGTGCATGTGCATGTGTGTGTGCATGTGGGTGTGCATGTGCGTGTGCATGTGTGTGTGCATGTGCATGTGTGCGTGCATGTGCATGTGTGCGTGCATGTGCATGTGTGCATGCATGTGCATGTGTGCGTGCATGTGCATGTGTGCGTGCATGTGGATATGTGTGTGCATGTGTGTGTGCATGTGTGTGTGTGTGTGTGTGTGTGTGTGTGTGTGTGTGTGCATGTGTGTGTGCATGTGCATGAGCATGTGTGTGTGCATGTGTGTGTGCATGTGTGTGTGCATGTGCGTGTGCATGTGCATGTGTGTGTGCATGTGCATGTGTGCGTGCATGTGTGTGTGCATGTGTGTGCATGTGTGTGTGCACGTGCGTGTCCATGTGCATGTGCGTGCATCACGAGCAGTGATCTGAGTGAGAACATGTTCACGGGCTCTCTGCCTGTTTCATTGGGCAACCTCACCAACCTGCTCACCCTGTAAGCATTCACATCACTTGAGAAATCTTAAAACCCTGTCACACCACACGCTGTGCTGTGTTGCCTCTCACATCGCACTAGGTTGGAAATCCCTTCTCACGGTCTCACCTTAGTGAAGCACCTCCGCATGTTTCCAGTCCATTATAGGCATCGTACTATCACTGAGCTCCTCTTTTCGCCCTCAGGTGTTGCATCTGGCTGCCCTCTCTTCTTCTTGCTCTGACCTCTTCCCCACCCCCACTCTCGCACTCTTCTCTTCACTCACTCTCTCCTACTCCCCTCCCCTTCCCCTTCCGCATAAGTGAAAATCCCTGAAACATCCAGGTCACAACAGGTTACCACCCCAATCCCCCACTCACGACAGAGCTTCAAACGGGACTCAAGCCTCTCCTTTCCCATGATCCTCCTCCTCACATTCACTCCCCTCCCCCCTGTCCCCTGTCCCCTGTCGCAGGTTCTACAACTCTTCCAGCCCCAGCAGCCCCGTGTGTCCGCCCAGCGGTGGCAGCTGCATGGGGGTGAATCAGCAGAGCAACTCCTCCTTCTGCCAGGCCTGCCCTGCCTTCTGCACCACCTGCACGCCCCCTGGCAGTGAGTGACAGACGTCTCGAAACCCAACTCCTTCTGCCAGGCCCCTGCTCCCTGCCTTCTGCACCCCTTCTGCACCACCACCTGCACTCCCCCCGACAATGAGTGCACTGTCGAGAAAGAGCGAGATACTTCTTATTGAACTTCGTAAAACCTCGCTGGCAGTGAGCAAACCCTCGAGATATTTTTTCGAAACTCTTGAATCCCTCGTGAATTTATCCATGCCCATCCGTGTGTGTCCGTGTGTGTCTGTGAGTGCGTGCATGTGTGCAGGCCCAGCAACCTCCACCCCGACAGAAGCACCACCCTCGTCACCGGCCCCCGCGTCCTCCCCTGCCCCGTCTCCCCCAATTGCACCCCCCAGCTCTCCTCCTCCCCCTCCTGTCACCCCCTCGCCCGCACCTACTCCGCCCAGTGCAGCCGGTCCTCTCCCCACTGCCCGTGCTGCTCTCTGCCTGATGCTGCCGGCACTGCTGGCTGCAGCCCTCATGCTCTAGTGCCCTGCTTCAGCTAGAAGTGCTGGAGGTGGTTGTGGTGCATCGTGATATTGCTTGTCGCATTGCCCCCCGCCCCCCCCCCCCCCCCCCCCCCCACCACTGCAATTCCATCAAGAGGAGTGTCCTGTGGCCCTGAAATGACAGACAGGCAGGCAGGCAGGCATGCGGCTGCTGCGGTGCGGAGTGACCGAGGCCGCTGCTGGGTCTGCTTTATTGAGACTTGAAAGTCAGTGTTGAGAGAAGCTGGCATCACTGGTTGAAGGCATGGGACTAGGGGTAGGGATGTATGGGAAGGAGGGACGGTGTGTGCGGCATGGGCGAGTATGACCTTTCTAGCACCGTATGGTTTGTGTAAACTTAGATATCTGAGAAACAGATGCATAATATTTTGGAGGGAATCAATCTTGAATGCATTGCATATGTTTTCAAATAAGCTAAAAAAAAATAATAGGGACTCACAGGTCATTGCACAAGACCAGAAACAAAACTTCTACAGCTTCAGGTAATACAGGCAGACAAAATGGATCATACCGGCGGTACCGGTAAGTATTAACAGCTACAAGGTTAGTCTCCCCAAAGCTATGCTAGGTGGTTGGTGGTCAGTACTCGGTTCAGTGCGCATATCTGTGCCATGTGCGCCCTGCTACATGCTGCCCTCACTAGGCGCAGAGGCTCGTGTGTGCCGTAAAATCCACGGGTGTTCTGCACACCAAGGAAAGAAATACGGTACCGGCACGAAGCAATCAGTATATGGCCACGGTCCGAGAGGAGTCGCCAAACGCACTCATTCCCTTGCAGTGTTTCGCAAGTCACCCCCGTGGAACCCAGTGCAACCCAATGGAAACCAATGCCGCCCAGCCCAGCTCAAGACGACATCCCCCACGCGTGTAGACACACACTCACCCAGCACCTCCGCGAGCGTGATCCGGTCTTCCGGCCGTTTCTCCAGCATGCGCCGCACCAGGTCCCGCACCTCGCCGGACACCGACGGCCACGGCGGGCGCACGAGGTTCACGGGGGCGGCCTTGATGGCTTGGAAGATGGCCTCGTTGTTAGGCGCCCAGAAGGGAGGAAGGCCAGAGAGCAGGATGTACAGCACCACTCCCGTGCTCCACACGTCTGCTTCGGGCCCGTAGCTCTCTGCGAGAACCTCTGGTGCGAGGTAATACGGGCTGCCTGCCATGTCCGTGCAGGGCACACCTGGACGTGGGGGGGGAACGTGGGTGGGAAGAGGTGGGGAGAACAAGCAGGAGGGGGAAGAATAAGTGAGAGAGTGATACGGGCCAGGTAATACGGGCTGCCTGCCATGTCCGTGCACGGAACACCTGGAGGGCTTGAGGAGGGGAATCGCAAGTAGGAATGAAAGTAGGTTTGCATTCGGCTGTGTATCTCAGCGCGGATCTCTGAGAGTCCGGTAGTAAGGGCTGCCTGCAATGTCCGTGCCTCCCCGTAAGCCTCCCCCATGCCTCCCCCATGCCTCCCCTCCCCCATCCCCATGTGCCTCTTCCCGAGCCTTTCCCCACGCCTCCCACCGTGCCTCCTCCCAAGCCTCCTACCTACCGTCTTTTCACACCTCCCCCAGCGCCCCCGCCTTACCTGGCTGGAAGAAGGTGGCGACACGAAAGTCAATGAGCTTCACATCAGTGTCGCTCTGCTTGGTGCACAGCAGGATGTTCTCGGGCTTCACATCGCGGTGAATCACGCCCGCCGCATGGCACTGCTGCACGCTGCCTCACCCCGCCTTAACCTCTCTGCCCCCTCCCCAGTGCCCTTCTCCAAGCCTTCCCCACTGCCTCCCCTGTGCCTTTCCCCTGCCTCCAGCTATCTCTGTACCCCACATCTCCCGTCCCTTCATCCCCCCTCCCCTCCCTCACCTGGCTGGAAGAAGGTGGCGACACCAAAGTCAATGAGCTTCACATCAGTGTCGCTCTGCTTGGTGCACAACAGGATGTTCTCGGGCTTCACATCGCGGTGGATCACGCCCGCCGCATGGCACTGCTGCAGCACACGCGCCACCGTGGCCACCACGGCCGCTGCCTGCGGCTCCGAGTAGCGCCCCTTGGCCTTGATGCGGTCGAACAGCTCTCCCCCCGCACACAGCTCCATCACCAGATGCACGTGCTGTGATGGGGGGGAAGGAGGGCGAAGAGGGGAGGATGGGATGGGGAAGAGGGGCGGGAGAAGCGGCGGGAGGAAGGGGACAAGAGGAGTCACACAGGACAGGGAGAGGTGTGTGAAGGTGTCAACTTGTGAATGAGCACAAGGATGTGTGCTTGCTTGTTGTGCCCACGCAAAAGCTGAGAAGTCATGCGCCCCTTGGCCTTGATGCGGTCGAACAGCTCCCCCCCCCGCGCACAGCTCCATCACCAGATGCACGTGCTGCGAGGGGGGGGGGGAGGTGGAAGGGATGGGGGAGAGAGGGGCGGGAAGAAGGGTTGAAGGTACGACAGGACAGCGAGAGGTGTCAAGATGCAAACATGTGAATGAGCAAGGCCATAGGTGCTTGCGCACATGGATGGGATGGGCCCCATGACCACCGCCTCCTGGAGGGGTTTTAAGGGGTATGGGGAAGAGAAGGGGGGGGGGGTGGGGGGGGGGGGGGGAGGGGGGAGAGACCCACCTGTTCATCCTCAAGCGTGTGAATGAGCGCCGCCACATGCGGGTGGCCATGCATCTGCTTTTGAGTCGACTCAAAAGCATCAACCCCATGGCCGCCACCTCCCTCCGCACATCCTCCACATCCTGCTGGCTTTCGATTGAGGCGCCTCAAAAGTCAACTCACCTGGTCGTCCTCAAACGTGTCAATGAGCGCAGCAACGTGCCGGTGGCCGTGCAACAGTCCCATCACCGCCACCTCTCTCCGCACGTCCTCCACATCCTGCTGGCACGTCAGCAGCTCCTTGCTGATCGTCTTACACGCGAACCTCCCGCCGGTCCTGCGGCACAGGCACAGCCGGATGATGCCGAACCTGCCGCGCCCCAGCTCACTGCGGTCCAGCCAGTAGCTGTCTGCAACTGGCACAAACGGCCGCTGGAGAATGTTCAAGGTTCCGTCCGGCTCTAGTTGCAACTCGCCGCCTTCACACTCCTCCTCCCCTTCCTCCTCCTCATCGTCTTCCTCCTCCTTCTCCCCCCCTTCTACCTCGTCCTCCTCCGCTTCCTCCTCTCCGTGTCTCCCCTTTCCGGCTCCCTTCTTCCCATCCCAACCGAATCCAGTGCCCTCCCGATCCTCCGCTGCCTCTCTCTGCCGCATCTCACTCCACACAGCCCTCTCCCCCGCCACATCACCAGCTCTCCTCCCAGCCTTTCCCCTCCCCTCCACCTCCTCCTCCTCCTCCCTTTCCGTTCCCTGCTCCCCCTCCTTATCCGTCTCATCCCTCTCCTTCCCCTTCCCCTTCACCTTCTCCCTCTTTTTCTTCTTGGCCTTGCTGGGCCGAATAACCTCTCGGTTCTTCCGTGTCAGTCGTGCTCTCATTGGCTCTGGAGTCACTGGTCGCATGCTCCCCCCCTGCATCCCCCACCTCCCCTCTCCCGCACCCTCTCCCTCGGCCTCACCCGCTTCCTCTCTCCTCCTCGCATCTCCACCCCCGGGCCACTTCCCCCCAGCATCCACAGCATCAGCCCACGCAGCCACGCCAGTTCGGGCCGGCACCTCACAGTGTCCCACTCCCCCTCTCGCCTCCGCTCGCTGCTGCTCCATCCTGCTGCTCCGTGCTGTCTTGCGGAAGGGAGAGGAGGAGGAGAGAGGGGACGCAGACAGGGGGGAGGCAGAAAGCGGGGAGGCAGAAAGCGGGGAGGCGGACAGAGGGGAGGGAGACCTCACAGGGCAGGACATGAGAGGGGAGAAACCCGGGGAGGAGGTGGCGGAGGAGCAAGAAGAGGAGGAAGTGGAGGAAAAGGCGGATGTGGGGGTGCGCAGCCCGGCAACATCAACCCTTAGCCTCTGCTTGGCTGCTCGCCGCTTCTCCTTGATTGCCCGCATGCGCTCCTCTTGCTCCCTCCTCTCCTGCTCCAGCCTCCGTAGCTCCCCCTCCGCCCTCCTCCGCTGCTCCCTCTCCCGCTCTAACTCCTCCAGGACCTTCTGCCTTTCCTCTGCTCGCACCTGCTCTCGAATCCTCTCCTCCTCTCTCCGCCTCTCCTCCTCTCTTCTCCTCTCTTCGTCTCTTCTCCTCTCCTCCTCTCTTCTCCTCTCCTCCTCTCTCCTCCTCTCCTCCTCTCTTCTCCTCTCCTCCTCTCTTCTCCTCTCCTCATCTCTTCTCCTCTCCTCCTCTCTTCTCTTCTCCTCCTCCCGTCTCCTCCCCTCCTCCCTCCTTCGCTCCCCCCGTCTCCTCTCCTCCTCCATCGCCTCCTCTCGTCTCCTGTCGTCTCTCCGCCTGCCATCCCGCCACCACCCATCATCATCATCCTCCTCCTCTTCCTCCTCCTCCGCACCACCAGCGCATCTATCCCTATAAAGGTCCTCCTCCTGACGGGCTACACAGTCGCTGCCCTGCCTGCCCTTCCCTCCATGCCTCTCACTCCCGTTCCTACCCTTCCAAGACTCCCAGGAATCCCTTCCTTTCACAACTACCTCCTCTCCCTCCTCTCCCTCTCCCTCGTCATCCTCCTCCACCTCCCCTCTACCGCACCTCCCTTCCTCTCTCCACCCTCCCCTCACCTCATCTTCCACAAATGGACTCACCCTACGCTCCCTCGCACTTATTAATCCCTTCTCTCCCTCCTCCTCTTCCTCCTCCTCTTCCTCCTCTTCCTCCTCTTCCTCCTCCTCTTCCTCCTCCTCCTCCTCTTCCTCCTCCTCTTCCTCCTCCTCTTCCTCCTCCTCTTCCTCCTCCTCTTCCTCCTCCTCTTCCCCTCCTTGCCCCTCCTCCGCATCCACCTCCTCCTCCTCCCAAGCTCCTTGCCCTTGGCTCTTGCTATCAGGATCAACCCACAGAGCATCGTCAATGCCACGAAGCGCACTATCAGCCCACACCACCTCAGCCGGAAAACCCCTGTTCGCTTCTTGCAAGTGGTGGCTCTTCTCGTGATGCGAGGGGTGAGCCTCATGATGGGAGTGGTGGGTCTCATAATGTGCGGTGTGGATGTCAAGATGCGAGCCCGCCCATTGTCCCTCATCCACGCCCTTCCTACCCCGTCCCACACTGCCTTGCCCGCTCTCTCCGGCACCACTCCCGCCCATCCCATCACCTCCCCGCCCCATGCCATTGCCACCATACAACTCCCCTTGCTCCCCTTCATACTGGTACCCCTTGCTGCTGCTTCCTTGACCACCACCCACCTGCGCTCCCTTCCCTGTCTGATCACTACTTGCCACAGAAGCACGGTCATCCTCATACAAGTCCACTCTTCTCTCCCTCTCACTCCCCATCTCACTCCCCCTCACACTCCCCTTCTCACTCCCCCTCTCACTATTCCTCTCACTCCCCCTATCACCAACCCTCTCATTCCCCCTCTCCATCCCCTTCTCACCAACCTTCTCACTCCCCTGCTCACTCCCTCTCTCACTCCCCTCCTCGCTCCCCTCCTCACTCTCCTCGCTATCCTCACTAGGCGCAAGGCACACATACCTAGGCTGCTTCCCACTGCCTTCTGCTGCTCGCACCAACCCTCCCTTCCGCCCCTCCTCCCCCCCTAGCTCCCTCCCCGCACCTTTTTTAGAATTCTCAAAACAGACAACCCCATCACCACCACCACCACCACCGCCACTGCTGTTGCTTCCACCACCAGTCGGAGACCTCAACACCCGGGCTGCTGCCGTGGCAGGCCGCGATTGGCCCACAGCTTTGCCAATCAGCAAGCCGCCGCCGAGAAAGCTACCGGGGCCACGGGAGGAGGAGTGCCACTCCGCCCACATCCCACTCCCCCCAGACGACCGCAGCCGCCCCCTCCCCAGCCCCTTCTCTGCCCTGCTTCCCCCCAGAAGCTCCGCAAAGCTCCCCCCTGCTGCTGACGCGTCGGGTCGGGAAGGGCCTGCGATGGAGGCAGAGCGAAAGCCGGCAGTGCGGGGGCGGGAAGCAGCATCGTCGGAGGGCGCAGGGCGGAGGTGACTGTGCTCCCTTGCCCCTGCTTCCCCTCCCAGTGCTGCTGCTGCTGCTGCTGCTTCTGCTGCTGCTGGTGATGATGAGAGTGGTGATGATACTGAGGAAGCTACTCGCGCAGTTGGGACCGCGGGAACAGAGTTACCAGAATCAACCACGCCATTAGTGCCAGTGCCACCAGCACCAACAGCAGAAGCAGCAGCAGCAGCAGCGTCACCTTCGTGCTTTCCTCCGCCACTCCCCCCGCCCACCTTCATCCCTTTCCCCCCACGCCCATCCCCCAGCAGCACCCCACTCCCCAGTCGCGCCAGCCCCATCAATTTCCCCGACAGCGTAGATGCCAGGCGCCCTGCCATGCGCTCTGCCACGCCCCCCGCGCCCCCACCGCTCCTACTGTTACTGCTGGGCACCATTCCTCCCGCGCCTATCCCCGCAGCCTGGCATGCGTCCATTGCGCGGGAGACAGTGCGCGCAGGGGGGCGGAGAGGAGAGGAGGCGGAGGGGGGAGAGGAGGAGGAGGCGGAGGGGTCTGAGTCGAGAAGGACGACGCAGGACTGCTGGCGAAGGGGAGGGGATAGGTGGGGGAGGCGGGGAGTGAGTGAGAGAGGAGATAGCTGCTGCTGCTGGCGCTGTTGGGTTGAGGGCAGAGCAACGCTGTTTCGGGGCCCACCGTTGCTGCTGCTGCCATGGCTTGTGGCAGTATCAGCTGTTTCAGCAGTCGCAGTGGTATCAGCAGTGCTATTCCGGCTCACATGAGGGGAGCGCGACCCTCCTCCGCTCAACCTCCTCGCCTCCCCATCACACGCATCATCCTTCTCCCCTTGCACCACTCGGCTTCCCAGTCTCCCTCCCCCTCCCCCTCCCCCTCCCCCTCCCCCTCCCCCTCCCCCTCCCCCTACCAATCCCACAACCCCTCCCCCTCCCCCTCCGCCTCCGCCTCCGCTTCCCCTTCCCCCTTGCCCCTCATGCGCCTCCACATGTGCCAGCGCCAGCAGAGGCATGGAGTCCCTACGAGCCAGTCTCCCCCCGTTCCCCAGCCTCTCTCCCACGCCCACACCCCCCCCCACGCCCATCGCTGCCTGAATGGCCGCCTCTGCCGCCCAAGACATGCTGCTGTGCCGCCCGTGCTGCGACGCCGTCCGCATCCCCCGCCCACTTCCGCCGCCCGACCCCCTCCCCCTCCCGCCTCCCCTCCCCAGTCCCCCTCCAACCTCCCCGCCTCGCAATCCCCCTTCCATTCCGTGCTGCTGCCCTGGCCCTCCACCAGTGTGCTTCACATTCACGCTCCCTGTGCTCACTCCACCACTATAGCCTCCCCCGTTACAGTCACTGTCACTGCCACTATCGCAGTTGCTGGTTCTCTCACTCCCATCCTCCTGCAACCGCCGCAGCGCACATGCTGACATGGATAAACCCCGAGACAGCCGCCCCCGGCCCATCCCCCGCCCAGGCAGCATCATCATCCCATGCACACCACCCCCAAGCCACTGCTCCCCCATCTGCTCCCCATTCCGCCTTTCCTCCTCTGACCTCCTCCCCCCTTTCCCCCTCTCCTCCGCCAACCCGCCTCCGCGGCTCCCCTCTTCCTCCCCATGTCCCCGCCCCCATATCGGTACCTTTTGACTCAAATCAAACGCCAATGGCTGCTGCTGCAGCTTGTGCTGTTGAGGTGTTTTTCCACCAGGCGTCTCTGCTGCAGGTGCAGCAGGGAGAGCGAGGGACGCGGGGCGCAGCACCATGCCTGGCAGTACATGCCCCTGTGGCGACCGCAGCCCTAGCAACGTGCTGTCCCCTCCTCCTCCTTCCCGCCGCTCATCTTCTCTTCCGTACCCCTCCTCTTCTTCCAGCCCGTCCTCCTCCCCTTCCTCCACCCCCCCCTCTGCTCCCCTCCGCGCGCCTCTCTCACTGCCGCCACTCATTCTCCTCTCACTCTCTCTCCGCGTCGCCCCACTCCCACTCTCACTACTCTCACTCCGTTGCATCCAACTCGTGCCTACACCCTCACCGCCTGTCCCCCCCGTAACTCTACCATTTCCGCCCGTTGCCGTGCCCGTTCTCGCGCCTGCGCGATTGGCGCCGCCGGCGCGCGCGCTTGCGGCGCGGGTAGTGGCGGACCCGCTCGTCTCCGCGCTGCCCGTGGGCGAGCGCAGGTAGCTGCCGCTGCTGCACGAGTGGGGGGAACGAGACGCGCGCTCGTCCTCCTCCTCGTCCGCCTCATGCCCTCTGCGCGCATTCCTTGCATCCCCATCCCCATCCCCCTCCCTTTCCCTTCCCCCTCCCCTCCCCCTTGCCCTCCCCTGCTCCACTTCCCCCTCCCCTTCCCCCTTCCCCCCCTCCTCTTCGTCGTCCCGGATCGCTATATCCCACCGCACACCGCTCTTCCTCCTCCCAATCCTAGCTCTCGAGCCGATGTCTCCACCATTTTCAAATGCTCCTTCTCCTGCTGCTCCTGCTCCTGCTCCTGCTTCTGCTCCTGCTCCTGCTCCTCCCCTTCCTCCCGCTTCTCCTGCTGCTGTGCGCCGCCGGGGGGACGACGCATGTAACGCGCCCCCCCCCCTCTCTCCCCATCCCCCTGCTACCAAACGACCCGCCCCCCACGCTGCTCACTGCCCGCCGCATCCTCCGCGCGCGCCCCCCCGCTCCCGCCGCCTCCGCGAACCTCGGCTCCGCCACCCGCGGTTTCTCCCGCTCGCTGCCCGCGCCCTCTGCCCACGGCGCGCCCCACCCCCCCCAGGCGGCGCTGTCCGCCTCGTCGGACTCCTGACTGGACCGCGATTGGCGGCTGCTCCTGTAGCTGCTAGTGTCGCCCGTAGAGTAGAGCGACATTTCGCCAAAGGTGTCGCCTGTCGCATACGGCGACATGTCGCAGCTCGTATCGCCTGCCTCCTCCTCTTCCCCCTGCTCCTCCGCCCGGTAAATATCTACAGCCGCCACGCCTGCGTGGCTCCGCCGCCCCGTTCCGCCTTCGCGCATCTCCTCCCCGCCCTCCCGCGACACCCTTGCTCTTCCCGCGCCGTCCGCGCGCTCGCTCCGCAACCCCTGCCGCTCTCCTCCCTCATTGCGGCTGCTCGCGTCGTTCCACGCATCCCCGTGTTCCCCCTGTTCAGCGCGCCCCTTCCCCGCGCGAGTGCCATAACTCGCGGCGAGGCCGCGGGAGGTTGGGGGGTCGAAATCACTGGCGCGCCGCATCAGCGAGGAAACCTCCATGGATCCCGCGCGCCGCATCGAGCGCCGCACAGAGCTCCGCGGAGGCCATTCCTCCGCCATCTCCGCCATCCCTTTCCCCGGATACCGCTGTTTCTGGGGCGCCTCCAGACCAGCCTCCGCCATGTCTTCCCCCAAGTACCTATCTAAGCAGCCGGAGGCGCCGCTGCGGGCGACCCGCCCCCCGCCGCGGTGAGAGTCGAAGGGGGAAAGGTGGCGCCTGGCGGTCGAAAAGGTATCCGCGGGGCGATTGCGGGGAGAGGGGAAGAAGTGTCCGCCATCGTCGATAACGTCCAGCGGGGATGGGCAGTTCCGCGCGGGGTTGTTCCGCGGAGCACCCGTCGACGCCCTACCCCGCGCGCTACTTTCCCTGCCCCCGCCACTAGTGGCCGGGCGGTTGGCACCCGCAGACGTGTGGCGGCCGCCGCCGCCACCGGTGGTGGGGCGCTGCATGTACGCCGATGATGATGCCATATTTAAGGATTAGCGGATTAGCGCGAGTTAAGAGTTTAGATAGTTGAGGCGCCAATTAGAAACGCATCGTGATTCGTGAGCTGGTATAAATAGTAAGTATTAATAAGTTACGTACCACGACATCTGGCCTCAGCGGGCTAAGGAGAAGAACATATATACTGCGAGCGAGTGATGAGAACTAACTAGGATGAGTAGTGCTAGTGAATGGCTGGTTGTTGGTTTTGTGAAACTGACGGCACTGTGCCAAGCCAAGCCGATGTGCTTGCGGAGTTGCAGTAAAAACGTTGGATTGGATGCACCTTTCTCAGTACAGTTCTGCTGTACTTCTGTACTGTACTGTACTGAAGTGAGTGCGGCAGGGGTTGGTTGGTTGGCGCTGCTGCTGTTGAGTGCGGGCATTCGTTTCGTGGCTCGGTGAGGAGAGTGTGACGGGCCATTGGTCTTCTTTGTCCAGGTGGGGCAACCCAAAACTCGACCCAGAAGAGCCCACATACTGTACCGAGGCAGCAGCGAAGCAGCGAGCAGTTTTTCCGGCCATTTTCAGGTGCATGCACTTTATCCCGTCGTGTTTCGCCCTCTGTTATTCTTGTTTGTACACATCTGCCACTAGAAACACTGTTCTGTCAGGGGATGCGACCCGCGCAACACAAGCAGCACACGCAACACACAAAATCGGCCTAGCAGGGAAGCCCAAAAATGAAAATAATCAATGCCTTGGAAACCTGGACATTGTTCGGGAAATCAGCCCTAAACATGGGAACCGTCCCGGTGTTTAGGGTTGATGTTTTGTAGGCAGTGGGAAAAAAAAAAACGGAGCCTGGACTCATTTTTTCGGAAGATATCAACTCTAAACAAGGGAACCGCCCTGGTTGATTCCTCCCGAGTCGCATGCGTTTCCAATTGGGTTTTTGTTTTTTCCCGTTTTTAGTCAGGCGTGTTGCGATATGTATTGACCTTGTTTGCAGTAAGGCTGCGACTGGTGTGGTTGGACGACGAGTTCGTGCGAGAGCTGCGCCAGTGGGTGTCGGTCGCATGGGTAGCACCCCCTGACAGAACAGTGATTGTCATGGTAGAGGTGTACAAACAGTAACAACAGAGGGAGAAACACGACGGGATATCATGCACCTGAGCAGCTTTTCCCGACTAAGTTGCATGCACCTGAAATGGCCGCAGTTTTTTCCGTAGTCCCGAAATTTGCTGAAAATTTGTTGGTGAGAAGTGAAGGTACTTTTGCTGCAGGTGTGTGAGGAGTCTCCCCAGTTTCCCCGACGCGCACCGCCAAAATGTAGAATGAGGCTCGGGGGTCGGCCTGGAGGTCGGAGAGTGGGTGGCAAGCAAGGTGGCTGACCAACCAGGCCGTGCTGAACTGCCTTTTCACAAGGCGAAGGCTTTCCGATTCCGGGGCAAGGCGACGAGGGGTGTATCCGCTAGGCGACGCTGGAGGAAACCCGTCCCTCCAGCAGGGGGAGTTGGGAAGCAAAAGTTCGCTCCAGCACCCGGATGGACTGCCTTTTCACAAGGTGAAGGCTTTCCGGTTCCGGGTTGTGTATGTTCGGTCGGTACTGAACAGTGCGTTTCTGTACGGACAGAAAATTGCTCCCCCCTCCCCTCCCCTCTAGCTGGTCTGTTGTCTCGCTGTAGCGAGTCCTTGTAGTTTTATCAACTGGAACTGGTTTTAGGCGATGGGAGCACAATACGGACTAATCCTGTTATCATTTTTTTCCAACAACCGAGTTTCTATTATCTTGTCCTACTATGGTGGGAGTTATTAAAGCACATATATAAGTTAATATAGGGTGGTATTCTTATAAGATGAAGAAGATTGTCGTTACTAACGAGAACTGCCGTCCGACTTGCACTCACCGACCCCGTTTGTCCGACTGGCTAGCGAAACGGCAATCCGCTGCTTGTGAAGCGGTCGTCAGGAAGGTAAACATCGCGAAGCTGTACAGTACTGTATTTTCTGAGGAGCTGTTACGGGTGCAATGAATCGAAGTAGCGAGAGTTGCACTAAGGTGTCAAACGAGTACAAAGATGTGAGCGAAGGCATGAGCGAACATTTATAAGTGAAACATGCAAACAGTAACGCGGTGTGTGCGAGCTAGCTAGTGGTACGCTGGAGCGAGGCTCGGGCTAGTCCCAAAGCATAGGCCGGCACGGCCAGGCCAGCAGTGCGAGGTTTGGTGAAACAATGCGCGCGAAGTCGGTGAAGCCCCGTTAGCAGTAACGGGCGAACAACGACTGTTGCTGTACGCGATGTAGTCGGGCTCCGTAAGGAATGCCGAGAAAATTCCTTACACTGCCCCCCCCCCCCCCCCCCCCCCCCTCAAGAAGCCCCCTCCGCTACGCGAGTGCATGTACATCGCGGAATCCCCGGCTCCTCAGATACACTTGCAGGGCAGGGTGGTTTTCAATGTTGGCCAGAGGCACCCAGCTACGGTATCTTCAGTTGGCGTGCGGTCCTTCCAGCGAACGAGGAATTCAATCCTCCTAATTCCCGTGGGGTGGCGAATCCCATGACTCAGAATGTTTTCGGGCTCGATGATCGGCTCTGATGCAGGGCGAGTCATGGATGGCGGGCGGTAGCGAGGAAGTTGGCTTGTGGTTGGGATGTATGGGCGAAGCAAGCTGACGTGGAACGAAGGGCTGATGTACCAGTCGGTCGGTAATAGTAGGTGCGCGGTTACTGGCGTGATCATGTGGCTGATTTGGAATGGGCCACAGTAGCGCGGTCCAAGTTTTGGTACGTCGGGCAGTCGCAGATTTTGCGTGTCGAGGAGTACGTAATCCCCTAACTGGTATGAGACTGGGCGGAGGTGGCGGTCAGCGTTGCGCTTAGCGATGACGTTCGCTTTTTTAATTGCTTCTGCGGCTCTGGTGCGGGCAGCTTGCAGAATTTCAGCGAATTGTTGTGCACGTGGTGTTGGGTTGTCCGGACTCGGCGTCATGGGCACTGTAGGATTTTGCCTGTAGTTTAGGTAGAAGGGGGACTGCTGCGTCGTCGCTGACGTGGCGTTATTGTACGCGAACTCGATCAGCGGCAGCTGCTGCTCCCAGGTCGTGGGGTCGTCGCACGTGGCACGAATCAACACCTCCATCGTCGGATTCGTCTGCTCCATTTGACCGTCGGTCTCGGGGTGGTACGACGATCTGAACTGCAGCCTGGTTCCGAACTGCTCCCAGAGGTTCTTCCAGAAGTTGCTGGTGAACTTCGTGTCCCTGTCGCTGATAATCGCTGCTGGTATCCCGTGCAGGCGAACAACGGCTATGATGAATAGACGAGCGGTCTCCTCGGCTGAGATCGACTTTTTGCACGCAACGAAGTGTGCCATCTTCGTCAACCTGTCAACGACGACCATCACCGCGTCGTTACCCCCAGGGTTCGAAGGTAAACCTGTGACAAAGTCCATGGTAACCTGCTGCCAGGCGCGCTCGGGCGGTGGTATTGGCTGCAATTGACCCGCCTTCCGCTTCCGTGAGCTCTTCATCACCTGACACGTGGGGCACGAGCCCACGTGCTGCTACACGTCGGTCAACAGCTCCGGCCAGTAGTAATGCCGCAGCAGTTGCTGTCGCGTTTTTTCTACCCCAAAATGTCCCGAGGTAATTCCGTCGTGTGCCTCCTGCAGTAGTAGCTCCCTCAGTAGTGAGTACGCGGGTACCCAGATGCGGCTGGTGCCTGTTTTTACGTAATAAACTCCTTTAACTTCTACCAGTTGCTGTGAATTTCCGGGCCAGAAAAACGGGTCGTTGCGGTATCCGTGGGTGAATAGTCATGTTAAAATCGGGTTGGTTTGGGCGAGTAGGATGGCATGGAGTTGGGCGGTAGGGCGAGAGAGTGCGTCGGCGATGTTGGAGGCGCCTTTCTTGTACGTAACCGTGTAGTGGAAGTTGGACTCCAAGTAGTCCAGCCAGCGGATCTGTCGCGGATTGAGATTTGGTTGGGCGCGTAGGTACTGTAGTGATCGATGGTGTGTCTGTACTGTCACGTCGGCGCCCGTCAGGTAATACCGCCAAACCTTGAACGCGTGCACGATCGCCAACATTTCGCGGTCGTGTATCGGGTAGTTGCGTTCGGGCGGGTGCAGCTTGCGGGACTCGTATGCGATTGGCTGGAGGCCGTTCCCGAAATCCTGCAACAGTACTGCTCCCACAGCGATGTCACTTGCTTCAGTGACAAGCTCGAATGGACGGTGTGGATCTGCGATGTGAAGCACGGGCGGTGAGCACAAAATGTTTTTGAGGGTCGAGAAGGCAGCTTGCTCTTTCTCTCCCCACGTGTACTCAACCCCCTTCCTCAGCAGGTCTGTCAGCGGGGCAGTCAGCTTCGCCATGTCAGGGACGAACCGGCGCACCTAGTTGACGAACCCCAAAAAACTCTGCAACTCGGTCAAGTTGGTCGGCGCGTGCCATGCTTGAATCGTCGCAGTTTTCTTCGGGCGGTCTTGCAAAAACTCACACTTGAACGCTTTTGTCAGTAGGCGGTGCTCACTCAGTATTTTAAAAACTGCTTCGATGTCCTGTAAGTGCTGTGCTCTGTCAGGGCTGTGAATCAGTATGTCGTCCACGTATACGATGACGCACTTATCTAAGAGCGGGCGGAAAGCTTCGTTCATGGTCATTTGAAAAGTGGCGGGGGCGTTGGTCAGTCCGAAGGGCATGACGGTGTATTCGAAGGATCCGTAGCGTGTTCGAAATGCGGTCTTAGGGCAGTCGGGCGGATTGACGCGAATCTGGTGGTAACCCCCTTCGGAGGTCGATTTTCGAGAAAATCCGGGCTGTGCGCAGTTGGTCGATCAGTTCGTCGGCTCGCGGGATGGGGTAACGGGATTTGATGGTAACCCTGTTCAGTGCTCTATAATCTATGCACATGCGAAACCCCCCGTCTTTTTTCGGTGTGAACAGTATCGGTGCTGCGATGGGCGACGAACTAGGGCGAATGAATTCCTTCACGAGAAGGTAATCAAGCTGCTTCCTCAGTTCGTCCAGTTCGGGCTGGG